ATTGAACACTTGAAATACAAGTGAGATTGAGATGATTGTATATTTTATTAATTGTAATTAATATAAATTTACATTTAAATAGCCTCTTGCAACCACTGCCTACAATATTGGACAGATCAAGCTCAGATGATGAAAATGGTGATAGCTGCAGTTTGAATGGGCCAACCTGTATGTGAGAGACCTTCCTCATTCAGGTCAGCTTGAACCACATCTGGTCAGTTTCTGGTGGTAAAGGAGCCTGCAGATTTTTCTAAACAGTACTTCCTTTTCTGAGCCAGGGGTCACCAGAGAGTCAGCCAGATTAGAAGGATGTCACAGAAGAGAGTAAGATGTGGACTTGTGATAAATTTATCTTGATAAAAGTTTAGAGGGGATGCAGTTGGAAGAAAAGTAGAATTGTGGGACTAGGTGACCACAAATTTCCACGAACAGGTAACATTCATATGGGGTTTGCAGAGGGAAGCAAAGTCTTCCATAGTTGCTGGAGGTTTAGTAAAGGAATTGAGATCACTGTTAAATTAGCTGATCCTTCATCATAAGGTTTAATCACATTATCTTTCAAGGATGCAGTACTTTTCATAACTATGGAAGATATTTAGAAGATCAGAAAACCATAACTATGGAAGATATTTAGAAGATCAGAAAACATTGCACTTGTCTTAATTAACTTGAGTTAATTTATATGGAAGCTAGAGAAATTAAAAACCAACAAACCAACCAGAATTTAAGATGGAATGTACACTGTAATATCTTTGTAAAACAAGACTTAAAAGGAAAGATTGGCAGGATATGGATAATGATAATAATAACATTCTTCTTAGGCTGTCGGCCAGCAACCTGTGTGTGCTTTGCATACATCATCCCATTTTGTCTTCTTGACACACCTGAGGGTTAGGTGTTCATCATTTCCATTTCCCAGATGGACAGACTGAGATTCTGAGGACTTAGGAGATGCCCAGCATCACTAGGTCAGCAGGGCAGAGCTGAACTGAGTTCCAGAGTAGCCATGACCCTCAATCCTTACTCCATGCTAATGCCCCATGTTAATGGATAATTTCAAGCTTCCTTTTTTGTTTTTCATTATATTGTAAGTTATAAGCAAATATAAATTAGTTTAAAAGATTATTTACAAAATGAGGCTGACTTCAGCAGCAGGCAAAAATGAAGTAAGCAGCTGACATCTGAGGGACTTTGGACTGCCTGGTGAAGATTCTCTTTACAGAAAAGACTCATCAAATGTTAAAATTAAGCTACTCCTTGTCAGCCTCTTCTTTTCCCTGTTTGAAAAGTCTGGATCATATCCTCACTATGTATAAGGCACGGCACTAGGTTCTAGGATTCTATGGCAAAGAAGTCAGACACAGTTCCTGCTTTTCTGGGACTCATTTGCTAGACAGAGAAAATACTAACTCAAAGAGTTACAGTACAGTGTGATAAGGGTTATGGTAGGGGAAAGATAGGGTATTGTGAAAATAAAGAGAGTGACCAATTTTGTCTGGAGTGAATAGGTGAAGCTTCCATGGAGTTTTTAATTCAATATGAACTTTGAAGCTTGAGTGGGAGTTTGTTAGAAAAGTGGGGGAAAGACATTCTGGGCAGAAAGAAGAGCATGGATTTGACTGCAGAGGGGAGAGAGTGCATGGAGCTTTGGAGAGAGACCAAGTTTAGTGAAACTGATAACTAAGTGTGAAAGGGAATGAGGAATTATGAGGCCTGACTTGCAAGCAGCGGAGAAGAGCATGAATGGAAAAATTCAGTGAAAACAGGAAAGAGTGAAAATCCACTCAGCAGAAGTGAGCTGGGCCACCCAAGTGGCGATCTCTTGGGAGGAAGAAAAATTCTCAGGCATCCCAAACCTTGAGTTTGGATCTCAGCCCAGCATTTACCAGTTAGCTGACCATATGACCCTTAGGTTCTGGCATCCTATGATCCTCAGGTTCTTTGTCTGTGAACTGAGTGTTATGGTTGCTGTCACAACTAAATGAAAAGAAGTGTGTCATGATCTAAAATGTCACATTAAAAAGTTGGAAGCCATTGACCACACCTCCCAGAGCCCAGGATTTAGTGGAAGGCTATGACAAGGCCTTCCTGGGCTGTCCTGTCCTCATTCCAGGAGGCCACAGAGAGCTCAACACTGCACTTTCTGGGAACAAGTTTGCATTTTCTTGGGCTCTCACTAGCACTCCCATCTTCTACCTCACCTGACCAATCCCACCCCCTGCCCCCCCCAGCGAGCACCCACAGTCCAACCTGCAGAAGACTGGCTGCAGGCTCAGAGAGAACAAATGCTCTGACATGTGGATCTAGCAGACATTACAATTAATGTGCTATGTGAAAGGATGCAGTCTCAATCAAGCCTACCAGAAGACAACAGAATTGGGGGTGCCCATTTCCATAGAAGGCACCTTAGGTGTGTGGCAATGTTTTTCTGCCTGTCCAAGATGAAGTCCTGCATGTTTGGGCAAAGCATTGTGGAGGGGCTTATGAAGGCTTAAGTATCCCCAGCCATTTAACCCTGAAACTGCATTAAAAATACAGTTGCACCAGCCACCTTTAGTTATCCTTTCACCTGGATCTAACTAACACCTGAGTTCTTACTATGGACTCAGTGTCTTCCCGCTGCATGGGCCCTGAATTATCTAACAGTGCTGACACATCAATTGACAGCTGGAATGTGGCAAGTTATGTCCAAAGTGCAGTTATGTCCAAGTTGCAGCAGGAAATGAGTATGACAAGCTCAGCAGGCCATGGGTAAGGGTGAAACTGGTGCTCATGAACCTAAACTGACCTCCATCTGCTACCATTTTCTCATGCTCCTTTGTACAGGGTTAATAAAAAGACTCTGAACTGAAATACCACCATCATAATTTAGAAACTCTGGTGACATTAGAAAGACCATTAGAAGACCATAAGCTAAATTTTTTCCCAAACACTCTGAAACAAAATCCACTAAATTATGAATACTACCTTTGTTTTGAAGGTGGAGTTACAGAGGACTCTATTTGTTTACCATTCTTAGAACATTAGTAAAATAATAAAGATGATATCCCCCTGTTTTAAGAGGAAAAAACTGCAGCCCAGAAAGACTGACATTGTAAGCTTCTAACTTTTGCAGAATCTTTGTAGTGTTTTTGCAGTGACCAAGGGCTTCCATCCACGTGGCTGCATGTTACCCTCACAGGACCCTGAGGCACCGATGTTCTTTTCATCTTTCACATGAGGGAGTTGACTCTCTTCGAGAGGTACAGTGAGTTGACCAAAGTTACACAGAGCGTGGAGGAATCAGCTTTTCTCCCTGCCCAGGGAGCTATCAACCCGGAGGCTGGAAGAGCCTGTTCTTGGCAAAGCCTCAGATCTGAGTGCTCTGTGTTCTTTTTGGGCTAGGACTCTGCCTCCTTATGTTGCTCTGTGCTGCGGAGCTCATCCTGGACTGTATCCTTTCCCAGGGACTGCAAAAATAGCCCGTGGAGGGGAATGATGGAGGAGGCAGCTATCTGGATGACAAAAAGGCTATTCTGACCTGGTGGGAATATAGGTGCCCCAGGAGAGGGTAGCAGAGGAAAGCAAGCATCCCCGGGAGATCTCACACCAGTAATGCCAGGTCAAACCCCTATACTTACAAAATGCTCTGGGAAATATGCCTCAGTTGTTAGGTCTGATGTCCTAAGTGCTTGTGTTTGTTTCTGTAGAAAGAAAAGATTTTCAAGTATTATCTGGTGATGCTTTACTCTTGGAGATTTAATTTTTACTTTCTATTACTTCCATCATATAAAACCAGACCATGAAGCTGAGTTTCCCTGCCATTAAGAAAGGCAGAACCTCAAAGAATTCAGTGATAACAAAGAATCATATTTATGTTTCTGCGTTCCAATGTAGAGCCATAAAAGACATGGAGTTTAATTGCAAGGGTCAGTCTCTTAAGAGAGAAGTGGTTGCCTAATCCCCAGAATTTACTGAGCAATTATCACGTGGCCATCAATGTTTTAAAGCTTATGTGAATTGTCTATTTTAATCTCACTATTATTGTTCCAGTCTTAAAGACAAGAAAGCTGATGCCCAGATAGAGGTTAATTAACTGTCTGAGGTTACTCAGCTAATAAGTGATAGAGCCAGGATTTGAGCCCAGGTATTTGGCTTTAGGTTCATGCTTAATTACTCTGCACATTGTCTCATATGCTGAGTATTCTGCTTAGGGCAGAGAATGCGGCAGAGAACAAGACAGTCAAGTTTCCCTCAAGAAACTCAGTGGTTGAGTCTTGCTGTGGTTCTTTTGTGACCTCGTTTGGGCCTTGCAAGGCAGGAAAAAACAGAGTCCCCATTTTAGTCATGAGAAAAAGAAAGTCAAAAAGAGGGAAATTGTCTTACTCAACGTCATAGAAAGACAGTTGCAAAATGGGATTAGAAACCAGATATCTCATCAGCACCCTAATGTCCTTTCTCTGCCATGGAAGTGATTGTCATTCAGCAGACTCAGGGTTAGTGTCAATGCCTGGGCAATTAACCAAAGCTTCTTTTAGGCTGGATCTCCAGAGCCCGAGAACACCGGGACCCAAAAGATGATGTCTGATGAAAGGAGGGCAAGCAAAAACTGAGAACAAATTTTGCTTTGGGACTTTAGTGACAAGTGAAGCTGCAGATATAGTGTCCCAGGCTCTGGGATAAAGGTGGATTCTGGGATAGGGGAGGGTCTGTGGATGAAGGTATTTGTGGGTGTGTTCAGAGAGGCAGAGTCAGAGATTCATGGATGTGGTGATGGCGAGGGGGGAATTAGGAAGTTTGGGAGTGGAGAAGGGCTCTTCTAATCAGGACTTTTATGGAAACCACCCTTGATAAAGAGGAGAATATTAGCAAAATGGCAACTGCGGAGAGAGAGAGAGGGGGAGAGAGATGGGAGAGAGAGGGAGAGAGACAGAGATCCACCATAGTGACTGGTAAGAGACTCTTCTGTTGGGCTCCCACAAGCAGCCCTAGAATAAGGACTGGGCAGAGAAATCCCTTACCTTCTAGGCTTTGGACTTTCGTTGAATGAACAGATTATCCCACAGAAAGCAGAACAGCACTGAAGTCCTTTCTGGCAATCTTCTTGCAATGTACAGAATTGGGTACAGTTTTCGGGTTCCGATCTGCACGGTGGAGGTTCCAAGATATACTCTATAACACAGAACAGGTAAGAGAGGGACCTAAACAACAGCTAGAGTAACATTTAGAACTCAGAAAGCCCAGGGATTGCTGGGAAACCTGCCACCCTTATCTCCCTTGTGGGTCCCAGGAAGGTGGAACCAGGTTTTTTCTTTAGCTGTTGCCTTCCTTTGAGTTCCAGACAGGGAACCAGGGCTTGGGTATTTGATAAAAGAGTTTGGCAGAACTCTGCACTCATTGGCCACTAACCATCCTTGCAGGTCAGAGGCCAAGTCCAGATAGACTAGACTGGGCCCATTTCAGGGATATGAATGGGATATGTGGTGAGCAAGAAAGAGGTTTATAGAGCCATTCTGCACTGACTCATTGTGTGGTGTTCAGTAAGCTGTATAGTCTCTCATTAGCAGTATACTTTTCCTAGGGTCAACCTAACATGGGTTATTTATGTATAGGAAAAATAAGTGGAAGGTAAGTTTTGGTAAAGAATGAAGACCACACAGAAACTGAATGTGCTAGGCCAGAGAGCTAGAACCCAATTCACAGGTGAGCTCTGGAAAGCAACTCCTTTCATGGTGAGAAGGGTGGGAATTTCAGAACAGGGTGGAAAGATTCAGCTTCTCTTTCTTCCCTGGTGTGTCCTGATCAGGAGGCCAGCATGTCAGGATGCCCCCACTTTTTACTGTTACAGAAGAATAAGCACCTTGATGTTGACACTCCATTTCCTCCCCACCCCTAAGTATTTCAGTTCAAAGATAAGACTCCTCCACTAGGAGATCCTCCCTAAGGCCCCAACACTCTCTTTTTCTGAACTCTAAGGCATTAAGGATGGGCCCCATTAAACCCTTTCCCTGTTCCCTGCCAGGCCCTAATTTTTGTGCCTTGTGACTTGCCCTTTCTATGGGGCAAAAGTCAAAGGTGGGGTATTCCATTGTCCATTTGTTGGTTTATTGCTCGGCAGGTATTTGCAATTGTTAGAAGGAGATCTGTAGAATATTATGATGATTTAAAAGGAATAAACAAAGAATGAGGTTGGGGCTATAATGTAACAGTAAGTGGCACCAGGGATGGGGTAAAAGAAGCTGAGGTCTAAGCTGTTGACAATTTAGCAGAGACCAGTAACCAGCACCTACTACTCTGGGCTTCTCAGACATTCCATAGCTCACTGGGACAGTGTGAGAAAGTTGAACTGGTGCCCACTTTGAAGATTTTGGGCCCCATGGAAAAGTGTGAGGAAGAAGGCCATGAGCCAGGGATCTCAGGTCTCCCTTCTCAAGTTTCATTCCCTCTTCTGGATATTGGGTCCCAATCTTACAGAACATACCAGTCTTTCAGAAAGCTTCTTTGTACCTTTCTTCAAATTCCTTGATTCTCCAATTAACTATCTTCTGGGTACTCTCATTTTCTTGCAGCTTGCTTACCTCCTCTCAGTCCTACAAACCTGCAAGCCCTGTCTGAAACTCATAAAATAGGACCTAGCCTCCCATGAGCTACCACACATATCCCTCTTCTGAGCCCCCAATATTCTGAAGGTGCTCCCCTTACAGAAGAGTGCATGTATGACGACTAATAGTTCTTTGGCATTGGTCAGGTGAACATTACTGTAGCCAGTGCTCTTGTTAGGTCGAGTTGGGCAGTGGTGACCACTGACATGGACTCTACACTGTCCCACTGATGATAATCACTGGTAATTGTGGTTTTTAAACTGTGCAATAAAATGCAAGACTTCCTTTTCCTCCCTCCCAAAACATCCTCCAAGGCCAAAGTTATGTAAATTCCAGCTTGAATTCTACTAACTTAATTTTCTTCTCTGTTTTAGTGCTTGGAAAGTGAGTGCAAGCATCCATGAAGGAATCAGGTGCTGCAAGATTAAGCTGGATGATGAGGTTGATAACATTTACAGTAGTTAATACCTATTGAACATTTACCATGGTCCAGTGGGAATGCTTTATGTCTGCATGCATTATCTTAGTTTCTCTTCCCAACCATTCCAATATCATTATACCCATTATAAAGATAAAATCTGAGGCCTAGACACTTTGTCCAAGGTCACACAGTAAGCAACAGAACAGATCTTGTTGACAATAAGCTTGAACTCTTGAACATGGCATAGTATTTTTTCATGAGGTGTGCCAGACCATCAGCCTTCAGATCCTCTCTTCTCTACAGGGGTGGCTTCCCTCCCTTGGGCCCAACCCCAGGACCTACTCAGAAAGCGTTGCTTGGGACTCGCAGGCACCAGCTGGGGTGCTAGACAGAACAACAGCAGGAACTGGAGAGGCAGCACAGGCTTCATGGTGCCAGCGGGGTAGGTGGATAAGTCCTGGCAGAGGACTGCTAGGTTGGACCAGGCACTGCTGCAAGGAGAAGAGAGAGAAAGAGGGCAAAGTGGAGGCCTGCTGCGACTGGCCTTTGACTGTATATTTCAATCAAGGAGTGTCTGGTAGAAATCCAATCACCTCCCAGCCACGCCCACTCCAGGACCAGGTAGTGTTTTCATAGCCTTAAACACTTTGTCCTCCTAATCTTGACTTTTTTTTTTTCTTTTTAAAAAGATGACTGGTAAGGGGATCTTAACCCTTGATTTGGTGTTGTCAGCACCACGTTCTCCCAAGTGAGCTAACCGGCCATCACTATATAGGGATCCTAACCCATGGCCTTGGTGTTATCAGCTTTGCACTCTCCCAAGTGAGTCATGGGCCGGCCCTTAATCTTGACCTTCTTATGTCTTTCATCTATCTAGATCTTATTAATGTCCCTTCAAAATTTTTTAAAAATAATTTTTCTCTGTGGAGATCTTATGTGTCTTTGTTATATGCATTGCATTCCTCCCAGAGGCCTTGAATTTTTTTAAATGAAATTGTAAATAGTATTGTAATTTTTTGGTTATTTCTTTTTGTTTGTTGCTAATGTAGGGAAATGGCTTTTGTATATTGGTCTGTAACTAGTTAGCTTGCTAAATTGTCTCATTGTTTATCATCATTTCTTGGTGTGTGCTTTTCAGTATTCATCAACTGCAAGTAATAACAGTTGTACTTTTCCTCTTCAAACTTTATGCCATGTTGAATACCTTGTACTGGGCAGGCCATCCATTATATTGCTGTACAGAAATGGTGATAGGGTGTATTCTTGTCTGATACCCAATTTAAAATGAAAGCTTCTTAAGTTACTCCTTTTAGGATAGTCTTTGTTTTAGGTTTCTCATAAGCATCTTTTATCAGGTTTAGAAAGTTCTCTTCTATTCCTAGCATAACAGTAAATTTTTTGATTAATTTATGTCAAATTATATCTATTGCTTTTTTCTATATTTGTTGAGATGATAACATTATTTTCTCCTTTAATATGTTAATGTAGTGAATTACATTTCTGATATTCTAACAATAAGCTATTTTTTGCATTTCTGCGGTAATCTTACATGATCATTGTGTTTTATCATTTTTATACTGTTTGGTTCAGTTTGCTATTTTTAAAGGTATTTTACATCTCTCTTTGTAAGTGAACTGGGCCTGTAAATTTTTATAAATTGAAACATAATTGATTGTACATGTCTGTGTGGGGTACAGAGTTGCATATCAACACCTATATGCAATATGTGATGCTCAAAATCAGGATAATTAGTATATTCAATATTATATCATGTTATCATTTTTCATGGCCCTTTATTGACTCCTCCTTACCCCCTCCCCCCACCCCTTTTCCCACCTCTGGTAACCTCATTCTGTTCTCTCCTTTTGAGAGTTCAATGTATTGTTGTGATTGTTGTATCTTTATTTTAAAATTTATTTGTTTATTTTTTTAGCTCCCACTTATGTGTGTGGACATGCAGTATTTCTCTTTCTGTGCCTGGATTATTTCACTTAACATAATTTTCTCTAAGTTCATCCATGTTGCTGTGAAGGCAGGATTTCACTCTTTTTTATGGTTGAGTAGTATTCCATTGTGTAACTATGCTACATTTTCCTTATCCAGTCGTCCAATGAAAAAAAAGAAGAATTACAAATAAAAAATCGTAGGGGGGAATGAAGAGATGATGATCAAAGGGTGCAAAGTTCCAGTTAGACAGAAGGAATAAGTTCTGGAAATCCATCATACAGTATGGTGACGATAGTGAATAATAATGCATTCTACACTTGAAAATTGCTAAGAGAGTAGATTTTAAATGTTCTCAACAGAGTAAAATGATAAGTAAATGAAGTGATGGATATGTTAATTAGTTTGATTAAATCATTCTACAATGTATACAGTCTGGTATACAAAACATTATATAATACAAAACAACATATAATCAAAACATCACATTGTTGCAATCACAATAATTTGTTTAACTTTCAAAATGAGAGAACAGAACTGAGGTAACCCGAGGTGGGAAAGGGAGAGGGAAAAGGGGTTTAGGGAAAAATTGGTAAAGGGCCATAAAAATGATTACACTGTGTAATGATAAATATAGTAATTATCCTGATTTGAGAATCACATATTGCAGACAGGTATTGATATTCAATGCTGTACTCCAGAGATATGTACAATCGATTACATTTCAGTAAAAAAAAAAAAAAACCCACATCATGTTGTACATGATAAATATATATAATTATTTGTCAATAAATAAATAAATAATGTAGTACTACTGGCTTTTATATTTACCTATGTAGTTACCTTTACTGGAGTTCTTCATTTTTTCGTATGGATTTGAGTTACTGTTTATCATCCTTTCATTTCAGTCTGAAGGACTCTCTTCAACATTTCTTGTAAGTCAGGTCTACAGCAGTGACAAACTCAGTTTTTGTTTCTGTAGAAATGTCTTAATTTCTCCTTCATTTCTGAATGATAGTTTTGCTGGGTATAGAGTTCTTGGTTGATAGTGTTTCTTTTAGCACTTTATATATATGTCATTTTATTGTTCTGGCCTCCATGGTTTCTGATGAAAAATCAGCCATTAATCTTATTGGGGAATCCTTTACTCATGTTAAGTTGCTTCTGTCTTGCTGCTTCCATATGTTCCCTTTGCTTTATACTTTTGATAATTTGATTATAAGAAGCCTCAGAGTAGATCTCTTTGAATTTGTCCTACTGCACCAGGAACGT